CTGCTGTACATCCAGTGTGTTTTTTAGCATGTTTAATGGTGTAGGAGATTATTTATAGTGACTTTTGCAGATAAAACTTTTCAAAAATAATGTTTTGGATTCTGGAAGGTGCATGTGGGGGGAAAAAATGGATTCTCACTTTTTTTTTTTTTTTTTGGCAGGTCATTATGTCAGAGGCATTTGTGTATATGGAACAGGTGACCTCAAGTGGCTTTTTAACTCCAGCTGTATGTTTGCTAATAAGTTTGAGCTCAGAACATATCCACTTACTGTGGAGTGCCTGGAACTGAGACATCGAAAGAGAACCTTGTCCCAGAGTGAGATCCAGGTGGAACCAAACTGGTATTTTTAGTTAAGAAAAAACCAGGCTACAGGCTACAAAATAAATAAAAATGGTCAGAAGAATAGCAGCAGAAATCTAATTTCTGCTGTGCTGGAAGCATAAATGCACCAGGCAGGTTTCTTTAGGATGTTCTGTATATGTAGTTTGAGTCAACTTGTCTCAAACTACCTTCAAATCTAACCTTCCATTTAACATGAGGAGACCAAAAAGTGAGAGATCCGAAAAGAGAGACTAGGGTAAAGCTCCTCCTGGAGCTGCTCTGTTTGCGTTTTTGCCATTTTTGACAGAGTATTTTCCAGCCCCGACTTTTGTCTTGCTGCAGAGTCTTTGCTATCTTTTTCTATATAAACATACATAGAATCATGCATTCCTGGAATTTCTTCTGCCTATCAGACAAGTCGTGCACACTGATAAGCAAAAAGATAACGAGTCACAGCTAGCAAGATCTTAAAAGCAGGAACACAATGTGTGGCTATACATACAGATACTGTTTTGTCAAAGAAACTGATATTTGATGCAGAGAAGCCAAAGGAAAGTACTGGAAATAGAAGAAAGACTCTGCACTTCCAGATCTTGGCTCCTCTTTAAATATCTGTCAGGACAAGGTTTACAAATCAAAACAGCATCTTTCACTAGACTAATGGGTGGGGTTAGAAAAATCAGATAGATTTTCAGGCTTTTCATGGCTGAAAAACCAGGGCTTGCATATTTGGTTTACTTGGCCAACTAGTAGAACTGGAAAAACTAAAAAAAAAAATTCTCTTCGTGTAGACTTTGGTCCACCTGGGTCCTTAGAAGATCACCGTATCTGAGGACACAGAGGGAGAGATAGGGAGCAGGGAAGGGAGTAGCAGGATAAATATTTTCAGGACTGAAAGAGCAGTGGCTGAGCTTTGGCAATAACTCAGTAATTCTGTCTCTTATTTTGATAGGGCAGTAGCATTCCACCCAAGTTTATTTCCTTTGATCCTAATATAATGGTTAATACACATACTTAACATTGGGGTTCACTCCATCACAGCCTTATTTTTATCTTCCAGTAATAGCCACGAGAGGGAAGGCATCAAGTATCTGAACAGATTTTCCTATCCAAATCTATATAACCCTCTAAAGCATACATAAAAAACTACATAACCCTGCAACGCTTACAAAGTCTCAGCACGCTAGGCGTGTCATAGGGAAAATTAGGTGCCCAGGAGTGTTTTAGTGTGGCAAACAGAAGGTAAAAGTTACAGATATCAGTCATTGTGTCCTGAAAAACAAAGCAGGGAGGCCAAACTATGAATGCTTCTTCCTGTGGTTCTGACAGGTTGTATTTGTGAGGCATTTTAGCAGCACTGTTGAATGACCTGGTCAGCATGCACTGAGGCAGTATAAATTGGGATGCCTGAATCTCGGAATACCGTCTGCTGCTATCCTGTCTCTTTCCGGAATGAGTGAAGATGACTCATTTAGTCATTCCTGTAAAGCAGTAAATTACCCCCAGCTTTATTAAGCCTGACAAACTGAATTGCAAACTGCAGCAGTTCAGAAAGGACAATGCTTCATTTTCAGCTGCCCTGAAGCATGGTTGGTAACCTCCAGGGAACGGGCTGAATGCACAGGATCATCTGCTTCAGTCTATTTATTCTGCACTTATAGCTGTCAACACCTGATAATGCAGGTTCTGGCACAGAGAGATTGAGAATTTATCTCCAGAGCAGAACTTTAGTGGAAATCCTGAGCAGAACTTTAGTGGAAATCCTGTTCGTTTTGTGGAGGCAGAGAAGAAGAGGAGGGTTTTACTAGCTTGCTGCCATGGTGGCAGCTGAAGGGAGAAGTATGCCAGAGAGAATCATTCTTTAAAGAAATAGTTTCAGGGTGTCCCATTTAAGAGAGTGCTGAAACCAGGCCCCCCTTGTTTTGTCAAGCTGAATATCCCCCCAACAGAAACATTCTAAATACAAGAAAGGTGTTCTCACAGTTTTATGTGAATATTTAAAGCAGCACAGAGTATGGACAAGATGAGACAACATTTCATTGTTCAGACTCTAGAAAATACAGGATAGAAATAAATGGCAAAATATCTCCAGTAGCAGAAGCTTGGCAAGTTGAAGCCACAGAAATAAAGGAGTATTCTACTCTGAGCCTGAAAAAATAAAAATATTTTAGGACTGAATTAAGCAAGTGGTTTAAGTAAGATCTCAGAAAAACATCAAAGCTGGGTAGTTTATTGAGAGATCTAGATTTCTGTCCAGCCATGACTTAGGTGTTTTGAAGAATGCTACTCCATGTTATGTTTTTCTGGAAATAAATTATTGTGTGTTCATTATATGACTGATTTTGGGGGGCAACACACGGATCCTTCTCTTTTTTTAAAGAAGAAACATTACAGTTAATCGCTTTCTTCTAAATGACATAGGAAGAAAGAGGGAAAGAACAACCTCTGGCAGCCAAGCTCAAGAAATGGGTCTAAACCAGCGTGACCTAACAGTATTAGCAGTACTTTAGAATAGCAGTAAAAGATAAGAGGTGATGAAAAATTGCAGCAGGCGGCTGGTAAGAATGAGATTAAGGTGGGTTGGATTCCCATGGAGAATAATAACAGTGATTAGTTGCGCAGCAGTAGTGCACCACTGTAGGTGGACGTGATTCTCTGAACAACCCGTGCCTGTACCTCGTTGTTTTCTAGAATTACGGTGAGGCAAAAAAACTGTAAACTCCCCCCAAAACATTATGAACAGCGGAGCAAAGTTTTCAGTTCTGTTTAGTAATGCACTCCAGAGCCTACAGGCACTGGACATGCAAAGAATATGCTCTCTAGAGGGATTTACAAGCTTATCAGACTTTTCATTGAAATCAGTTTGACTTGCTTAGAAAACCTGCTGGATCCCTTACTGCTTCTTGAGCTCTTGAAAAGCTTTATAAACTTTGCCCAAGGAGCTGAAATACTGTATGATTTAAGGCACCTGGAACTGCAGCCTTTTCACCATGAGGACGGTGAAACAAGCACCGGACCACTTGGCCTGGAGAAGCTGTGCAGTCTCCATCCTTGGAGGTGCTCAGGATCCAACTGGACAACCCCCTGAGCAGTCTGGTCTGAATTCAGTGTCGACCCTGCTTTGAACGGGGGGTTGGATTAGGTGAACTTCTGAGGTCCCTTCCAGCCTGAATGACTATGTGATTATATGATTCTTTTGTAGACAAATCCAAAGTACTTCATTCAGATATTGAAGTGTAGTAGCTAGCACCTGCCATACTACTTATAGTTGTTTGAAGTCATGACAAGTACCTCTGCACAGGCTGCCCTCGCTTTTGGATTGCAGGTTAGGATTTAGGACTGAAAGGCATGCCTATGGATGAAAATAAACAGGCCACCTTCCTCAACCTTTCTGTATTTCTTACAATAAGGACATTTTTACATCCCACACGATGCTGTACAAGCAGCTCCATGACCCTGCAAAATTATGTGCCTGTCTTAGATACTGCAACACTTTTTCTTTATTCCCTAGTGTCTCAGGTGTTCGATATTCTAAACATGAGCAAAAGAAGCACCACACATTCGTCTTTTGTCACTCCATGTAACCCATAAAGTAGGAAGGAGAAAACATTTGGAGAAGCTGACATTACATGTTCTGTCAGTGCTGGGAACAGACTTGTGACCATTGCTTCCCTCCTTACTTGCTGTCATCTTAGCCTAGGACAGATCTTGGATTCATCACCAGGGCTTGTTTAACTAGTCTACACATACAAGCAGGTAGTCATTCAAAACATGCATGTAGTATGCTATGCAGTTGTACAGTGTAGTACTGGGGCTTGCAATGAGATGTGTGAGCTGAAGGGTCGATGCTGGCAAAGTCTCAAATGACTACAGAGAGTTTTACAGTATATGTTTGATGTGGGAGTTAAGTGTTTCTTCCCAAACTTTCATCTTCCTAAGACACATTATTTCTTCAAGTTCCAGTAGGCACTGTCAGGTGCTGTTTCCTTCTGTCAGTGCAGCACCATGGAGTTAATATGTGAGCTGAGACACTCCCAAGCCCTGATCCAACAGCATCATTAAAGGCAGCAGAAAGGCTTCCTGCTGCTGTAAGTGGGTTGCAGATCAGGCCAAGCTGGAGCAGTCAGCACTCAACATGAATAGCAGAGTTACCACTGACTGAGGCCTTAAAACAGTGCATTACCCTAGTGCATTTAAGTTTTACACAGTGTGCATGGCCATAGTTATTTCACTTCCAATTGCAGGTAATTTGTGGGTTTCATGCTATATCCTTTTCAGTTGAATGCACTCAAACACTTCCAAAAATCCCTTACCCCTAGAAGATAAATGTTCTGTGTATGCCTGAAACGCTAGAAGTGTTCACAGCAACCAGAAATGTTAGGCAGCTTGTGCCAGGTTACAGCAATTGTGAAAGAATTACCAGGAACACAATTGTCACGTTCTATCTGAAAAAAAAAAAAGCAACATACACAGTTGTACCTCATAACGTTCATGTGGTAGTTTGAGCCTATTGCTGAAAATCGGGCATCTGTACAAATGCTACTGCAGGCCTTTGGTCTAGAGGTGTACAGTAAAATTCCCTGGCAGCAGGTCCACGAGCAGGATTTTGTGGAGAGAAGGGGAGAGGGAGGGAAAGCTTTAGGTCTAGGTCATGGCTTGATGTCTGGCAGCAGTGCTGCATAAATCAGCTTAAAACAGGAATCATCTCCTCCCAGCCCTCCTATTCATATTCCTGCTAGGCTTGTCTGCTTTGTTGCTGCATCAGTTCCCCAGTACTCTAACAAGACACCAAGAAGTACTTGTGCCAGGCCAAAAGTTGAAGTGACACAGGTAATCCCAGGACTAGGAACCAGGCAACTACTTAAGTTGGCTATAGTGACAAAACAAAAAGAAAGAAAGAAGTGACATACGAGGGTATCTCTTTAACCTTACTTAAGGCATGAAAGTAATTTCAGTATTTCTCCATGAATAAGTAAATAAGGTTTTGCAGACAGTCATCAGCACTATACCGGGCCCTAGATGCTTCAGACACCATTGCAAATCGTACATGCCTACAGAGCCAATATTTGCAGTGCATCTAGTGGCACAAAAATGCAAATCAAGCTGTCTCCACAAAAGAGAGAAAACTTCGGCAAATGTGATCCATATTCTTATTCTTTGCACACTCCTATTATTAAGGGCAATAGAAGAGATCTTCAGAGGATGAAAGCTAAGAGCAAGGGGTACTGGAGAGCATGGGGACTAAGAGGACAGTTGGAAAGAGAGAGAAAACCTGAGGATGGAAGTGCAGAGGGGGCAGGAAAAGGAAAACAAAAAAGGGAAAAGGAAAACAGTACTTGAGAGAACGAGCTGAGAATGTGAAGACCTGATAAGCTAAATAGGATAAAAATTGGATTTTGATAACAGTGTCATTCATTCGGTGTAAGCTTTCTTTTCTAGATAACCTGAGGCAAACTGCTGGTTTGCCACAGAGCTCAGGTCCCAGAGCAGTCTCACTCTTCCCACTTTTGTATCATCTGCAAACTTGCTGAGGGTGCACTCTTT